AAATTTTTGGGGACAATTTCAAAAATACTTCGAAAAATTTTTGTCGTCGCCATCAAAAAAATGCTAGTCATACAATTTTCATAAATAGAAATTGTATGGTTAGCATTTTTTTCATACCATTTTTTTCCTGTTTTTTTATGAAGAGATACCAATTTCGATACCAAAACAACTATAAAATACCTTTGAAATTCGATTAAACTCATTTTGCAAAAATGTACGAAATTTGTATGACTAGCATTTTTCCATAGACTAAGTGTTTGAAATTGTATGATTAGCATTTTCGGTCTATGGAGGTCAACCCGGGAAAATTAGAGAAAAATTCATCTAAGAACCAAAAAAATATACAACTGAGAACAAGAAAAATTTAACAACACAGCAAACTGTAGGAAAAGTGTAACTTCGAGTTTTAGAAGCTTACCTCTAAAAAATTTGAGAAGGCGTTAAAATTTTAAATGTATCAACCGTTTTTTGCATTGTCCGTTTATGAAAATCTTGCTAATATGTGAAAAAAAGATCTAATTTTTCGAAGTTTAGCCTGAGAGATTTTTTAATTTTTTTTTTATTTATTGCTAGTTTTTCAATAGTTGGATTCATCAATTCAGGTTTTAGCCAAGAAAATTTAATTTAAACGTTGAATTGTCCCTCCGCTAGCCTGGTAACCATCGTGTACACAAACTGCAATGGTTCAGGCTGCAGCACAAAAATAATCTTCACTACATTTTCGGTGAAACGTTGCTGCACTGATGTCTCCACCTCGGTCATGGCCGAAAGTAGCGTTATATTTGCCTCTTCCATGACCACATTACTGGGAACTGATCCATCCGTGCGGCGAGTCATCAGCTCTCTGATTCATAGGTCATCATTCGAGCCGGCTATGATTATTATTTGTGGGTCCATGCTGACAGTCCTCAGCACGCTTATCCTCATACCCACTGCTTGTCCCCAATCCAAGAAAATGTCAGCTCTTTATCTTTAACCCCATCTCGCTTTTCATTTGCCCGTCTCTCTTTATAATATGGAACGCCACTAATATTTGGTTAAGTTTTTGAATGAATGACGCGTATGATACTTTTGAAGATTTCTGATTAGTTTTTATCTATTAGTTAACAGTTAAAAAAACTAAATTTCCAATAAAAAACGTAATCTCGACACAACCTCAAAAACTGAACCCTTAAATCAAAAGTTTTTGTCATAGCATCTGAAGTTCTGCAGTTTCTTTGGTCTAAAGATAGACCCATACCAGTTGGTACATGCTTAGACTGCTATACACACTGTAGAGACACTTTCTTGCTCAGTATAAAGAAACAATTTTCTGCAGTTGGCGCGTAGATTGCAGATACACCTTGAGTCATACTTCAAAGTCTTTTGTGATTGAACTCTCTTCAAGTCTTGTGAAAGTATTTGTTTTATTTCGTTGTTGTTCCGACTTGCGATACGAAAGTAACGGAATAATTGGGCTCGGGTGGGTTTTTTTCTCCAGACAAATTTCGACTTCTTAACTAGCCATTTTTGATGGAATTTTCTTATATCAGTCGAAAGCTATTGTTGTCCTGAGCTTAAATTTGAAAAGATATTTTACCTGTGATCATTTTTCGTAAAGTTATGAGGGTTTAAAGATTGCCATTTTTGCCATTTTGACCAATTTACAATTAACACGCGATATAATTCGCGCGATTAACGCGTAAGCGGAGATTTAATCCGTCATAGAAATCGTTCCAAATTGGTTGAAAGAAGCTCATTTGCCATAATTTATTTGTTACAAGGAGCGAAATCTATTGTTTTGTACTTTAAATGGCGTGTGGGGGGATAATTTTCATCGAAAAATTTTCAAATTTTAGAAAAAAGTTTTTCATTTATTTTATTTCATTAAATTTTTTATGTTGTTTATGTTACTACTGCTCCATAAACGGTAAAAAGCAGTCGGAAATTTCAGGGCTTTGCCCTGATACGAGCAGTCTTGTTTTTATTTGCAATCGAGATTTGGTTTATAGTGTTCATGTTTGTTTTCTTATGATCAAACATTTATTTCGGGTTTAGACGGTAATACTGATGAATATACGAGGAAATTAAGAAAACGAAATGAAAATGGTTTTCTTACAAGGTAAAATACTTGAGCGGTCACGTCTTTTAAGGAAAAGAACATTTGAAAAAATGTTTTTCTTTTTACTTCACTGGTACTGTGTTTTAGAGCACTACGACTAACATCATTTTCTCATATAATGCTACATTTTGGAATGGAACTCGTAAAGTAATTGATTGTTCCGATTTTTGATACGAAATTATCGGAATATTTGTGCTGGGGGTGGGTTTTTTTTCTTCAGACAAATTTCGACTTTTTAACTAGCCATTTTTGACGGATTTTTTTAATATCATTCAAAAGCTATTGTTGTTTTGAGCTTAAATTTGAAAAAATATTTCACCTGTGATCATGTTTCGTAAAGTAATGAGGGTTTAAAGATTGCCATTTTGGCCATTTTGACCAATTTGGGACAATTAACGCGCGATATAATTCGCGCTATTAACGCGTAAGTGGAGATTTAATCCGTCTTAGAAATCGTTCTAAATTGGTTGAACGAAGCTTATTTGCCATAATTGATTTGTTACAAGGAACGAAATCTATCTTTTTGTACTTTATATGGCGTGTGGCGGGATGATTTTCATAAAAAATTTCAAATTTAAGAGAAAAAAATTTTCATTTTATTTTATTTCATTTAACTTTTTTATGTTATTACTGCTCCATAAACCTTAAAAGGCAGTCGGAACATTGAGAGATTCGCCCTGATACGAGCAGTCTTGTTTTGTTTCGTAACGTGTGATTCTATGTCGCTGCGTGAAGCTGAGTTGATTTGTTCGACAGTTTTGTTCGACGAGTTGTTTGGTAGTCTATCTTTGTATAGATCTGTTAAAAATATTGCTCAATGCTTATTGTTCAATTCTTTTCTTTAAAAAAAAACATTTTGATCAATCATAAGTCCAAGCCTTCAGACAGATCGGTATACAGCTTTCTTTTTCGATCTTCAACTAGGTATTTTCAACGTATCAAAAAATACTACGCGGCTGATAATTTTTGATTCAGATTATTTCAGTATACTTTTCAAACGAGTGATGCCAGTGAATGAAATTTTGCGTCACAACCTGCAACAAAACAATACAAATTCAGTTTAAATTGTTTCACTGAATTCATTGTACTTTCGTTGGTGACGATGAGTTCATTCACGTAGTTGGAAACTTTCTAGAATCTTAATTTTTCTAATTTAGTCAATTTTTTGTGACCAGTGGATGCTTCAGAAAGATTGAGACGAGCCGTTCTAGTCATGTTTTATATGAAAAATTGTTCCTGTCAAGTTTCAAAGTTGTTCATTAGGTGTGCTTGTGCATCTACAAATGAAAAAGTGCTTGAAAACCATTTTTTGTCTTGCTTCCACGATTGTCTGTTGAGTGGCATTCATCATTTGTTTATTAGTTTGTTTTGAGAATTTGACATTTTGACATTATAAGTTTCTAAATGGTTTTGAACTTTCAAAAGTAACGAAAGATTTTCAAAGGCTAAGCGAACTTTTTTAAAGGCATTTTTTCGAAAAGTCACCTAATATAAACATAAGGGGTAAGTATAGGCTAACTGCTTCATCTTTCAGTGCCCTGTCAATTGTGTTGGACAGTATTTATTTGGTTTTAGTTTCTTAGCTCTTTTCTTGCCTTCCATCTTCAGTGACCTAGTTACGTACACCAGTAGCGGATTTAGGGGGGGGGGGTGGGGTATGGACGTCTTTTCCTTAGGGATTCGACCCCCTGCCGACCCAAAGGGTCCCCCCTTTGTACTATTTTCAGATAGTCATTTTTGGCTGACTGACCTTAAAATTTTTCTAAAGGCGCCTTTGGCGCCAATATACTAATTTTGAGGGGGGAGCGCGCGCCGAAAAAACGCAATTTTTTGGTCGAAATTTTCCAAACAGTGCCTTAAAATGTCTTTTTTGGCCTTTTTTAAATAATTCGCCTGCGGCGCAGGAAAATTGGTCAAAGTAGGGTCCTTATAGTGGTTGGGAGTACTCAGAAAATCAATTTGAAGTTATTTGAATTGCAAAGCATGCTAATTGTTTGAATTTCTGATTTGTCAGTTTTAATCTCAAAGTTTTGCACTGGAGGACAAAATTTTTTTGTGATCCAGTTTCCACATTTTAGAGGATTGAAAAAAAACAAAGCCTAGTTGTTTGTTCCATATTCATGCTCCGAGCAAAAAATTGGGTAGATTTTTGCTTCCCATTGCTGAGAATGAGAAAGCGGGTCAACCGGCAGAGAAGCGGACAAAATTCTAAGCCACCTTCAACTGCCGTAAAAACAGCTTGCAAAATTGGCAAGTTCTTACTTACAGTGTTAATCTTTATAGCGAAATTTTCAAAATTAGGTGCGAAATCCAATAATCAGTTGCTTCCCCTTCGTTGGATTTTTTTTGATATTTCTCTACATAAAAATGTTTGTCCAAAACAAAAGTTAAGCAAACAAATCAAGAACAGTCTCGGAAATTTTACAAAACAAATTCTTAAACAAAACAAATTCTGATTGTTGAAACACTTAGTATTGATGAACAATAAAACTTATGATGAGTACTGTCTGATCTTCTAAAGATTCAAATGTCAAAAAAAAAGTTTATTTCAGAATATCTTGATTATTTCCCTGATTGTGATTTTTGAAAGACAATCTTGAAGTCGACAAATCAATTTGACAAGCCGAGAATGAAATCATAAAAAGAGTCGGATAAAGGTAAGTCCGAAATTGTTCCTTATTTCGAGGAATAAATTTTTTTTTGACGAATTAGATATTCAAGTGAAACAACAAAAGAACTAGACCTCAGAAAATTCGACAAATATCTAAGACATATATCGAAGATTCATCGACAAATATCTTAAATTCAATAACTCGAGCAGCAGTTTAACAGTATACTTTATCGAACAAGTATTTGGAGGAAACATTTTTGCTGTTATGCATAATCAATTTTGTTTACTATTTAATAAGTTTGAAGAATAGTAATAGTAATAAGTAACAGTTAACTTGAGCAAGCAAAACAAGTGATTCATTCTCGTTTTTAACAGGCTTAGAAATGAATAGAGACGTGCAGAAAATTAAAAACTGGATAGAAAACAGCAAAAAAAAAACGATTAAATTTTTAAAATGCAAATTGCTATTTTTGAAAGAAAGCAACCATTTCCTAGTATCAGTATTAAAAATCTTGAGCCAGTTTTTAATTTTTTTTTTAGTTATAGTTAAAAAATTTTTTTTTAAAAGTAGCAAATAATTCAAGTAAACAAGAAACTCTCTTTGCTCTTTGCTCATTGCCAAACTTTATCTCTGCAGAATGTCTTTATCAAAAAAAATTTGCTAGACATTATAAATCAGATGAAGAGCCGGTAATGTAATGTGGAGTTAGACTATTAGAAAGATAAGCAAATAAAGTGGGTATGCAAAAATTGATAATTTTTCACGAATTTTTTTTAACAGAGAAAAAAAAGAAAGTTTTTTCTAAGCAAGGAGCTTAATCTTCATGAATTGAGTAAAAGGTTGTCGAAGCTAGTAGGACATGAACATTTCTACTCCACATCAGCAGATTGATATCAATTGAAGAAATTAATCAACCCGGGTTGACCAAAAATGCATATCATACATTATTCATGTAATCAGATTTTTTCATGCAATCCATAAGCACAAAAATTTGCTCAATGATACTAGCATGTTAGAATAAACCAAAAAAATAACTTTTTATAAATTAATTTCTCAAAAGTTTTGAGATGTGTTTGTCACCAAACACAAGTGACAGAAACCATGATTTACTCAAAACTAGAAATAGCAAAGTTTTGATTGTCTTGCATTTACAATGAATTGGAAACGACCTAAATTGTAGATGAACCTCTTTCTTACACAAATCATTTACTGAAAGCATCAAATTTTAAAGTTTGCCAAGAATTTTTGAATTGAATATTTTTAAAATTTGAATTTTCAAATTATCAGACATTGATCAAGGCATATATAAACATTCCATACAGAAAAAATAAAAAATTTTTTAGCTTGTTTGAAAATAGTTATTCTGAGAAACGGAAAAAAAATCAATTTTTGTGTATCCACGACTACATGATGCACAAAAAAATTTGCCTGCAAAAAGATTCTTTTCTGGAAAAATTTAACAATTTTTTGATGCAATTTCAAAATTATTTCAAAAATTTTTCTTGTCGCCATCAAAATAAATGATAGTGATAATATTTTCATATATGGAAATTGTACGATTAGCAATTTTTTTGACAAAACATTTTCCTGTTTTATTAGCGCGTGACACCGACATGTTTGCCAAAAACAAGAAAAACAAGAAAAACTCGATGACACCATTTCAGCAAAATGTATGAAATCTAAATAATTGGTATTTTTCGTAATTTCGTGTATGGAACTGTATGAATAGTATTTTTGGTCTATGGAGCTCAACCCGGGAATGTCTCAGCCCAAAAAAATTGAATACTTTTGCATGTAAGGAAGTTTTTAAATCCTACTTCAGGTTTGATGAAAGTTTTATATTTGAAGTAAGCCAATTAAAGAGACAAGAACTGACAAAATTGACGCATTATAACTGACAAATAAACAAGACAGCAAGGTGTTAGGTGACTTGTGAAAACAGGTAGATTCTAACACATTTAAACAGGTTTTTCAACCATTTTTTCTCTTTTTTTTCAGTAAGCACGTGTGTTACACAGAAACGTTGCTGTTTTTACTCTGATTTATTTCTTATTTTAGCCTTTCTTCTGGAAATCAAACCAAGAAGCAGTCGGCTGGTTTCCAAACTATGAAACTATGAAACTCTTAAAATTATGGGCTGATGCGAAATATTTCTATTTTACAACTTTTTCATGGAAAAAAATTTCAAGTATTTGAGTTATTTCTTTCGGATCAAACACATGTTTTTGGATGCTCGCATTTTGCAATCACACCCAGGTACACATTTTTGCAACACTTCATTCCGTGTCTCTCGTATCTTTACATCATGAAACGCATTTCATAACCCTACTTCACCAAAAAGTGTGTTCATTTCTGAGCCAAAATCGTGTTTGTTTTTGCAACACAATCCTTGTTTTGGGAGTTAAGCTGTCTAATCCGTTCTTTTTTAAAAATCGGATACTGACGGAGCTTTTTTTGTATTTATTTTTTTCAAATCAGAATCCAAACGAATCTGATTATTGATCCTTTCCGAAGCTGAATTTTTAAAATTTGGTTTTCACTGTACCAAATTAGAAATCTTGAGTGGTTAATAAAAATTGGCGTCAGATACACGGTAACCAAAGTATCGCAAATTGAACTAAATGTTTTACTGAGTGTCAGTGCCAAAATCAATTTATAGAAAACTTCAGCAATGAAACAAGTAGTTTCAACTTATGAACTTTTTAAAGAGAAAATTTCTAGACTGACAGCAAAGGTTATTTTGATGTTATAATTTCATATGCCAAATTTTACTTTTAATTATTGGAAGTCAAATTTCTACATGGAGGTTAACTATAATTATAGAGCCGTCTGTTGTTTGTTTATGAAAACCCTTGTTAGTTTTTGTTTATTGATTTCATTTTAGTGGTCGTTTTCATTCTTCAGATAAAACACTTTGCTGGCATTCATCTTTCGCTTAAATATCCCTGCAAAAAAAACCTAATTCAGCACTGGCTCAACTTATTGCAGCAAAACTCTCATTTTTATTTTAAAAAATGCTGGTTCAGCGTTGGTTCATAGCTTATTTTTCGAAACTTTTCGAAAGAGTCTTGACTTTTTCTTCGCGTAATCCGGGCATATTAACTGGAAATGTTACATTGGGGCCAAGTTGTAGAGATTCAGTTTGGGGAGATGGCTTATTTCACACATGATTTAACCTGATTTAACACACTAATTATTGAAGTCAAAAGGTCGCGTTTTTCAAAAAGTTCTATACTTTAATATTTAAAGGTTTAAAATAATTACAAAATGAACATTTTGATTGCAAAATTGACAGGTCTGCGTTTAGTGATATTTTCATTTGCATTTCAATTTGGTTCTAAATTGAAACTGATTTTCTGAAGAAAAAAAAACAGTTATTGATATAATGACTGCTGAACATTTTTTGGTATTACATCTTTTCAGTTCCCATCAATTGTGTTGTTCTTGGGTTTTATTATGAAGTATGCTGGTAGTATTTTATGTTTTGTTTTCTAGACTTCAATCAAAAAAAGTGAATGGTAGAACTTAATATTTCAAGGTATGATTAGACGAACAGTCAAATTTTTGAAAGCCCACCTTATTTCATTCCAAGTTATGTAATATTCCTTATACTACCGCTGCAAAACTTTGATGAGTTGTGCAAATGGATTACGACTAAAGCAATCTCTATTTAGTCGAGTTTCAACTGTTATCATTGTGAAGTTTTGATTCCGCAGGCCAATTTTCTCAAAATACATTTAACATCTCCTTGAATGTAAAAAGCAGAATGAAAAAAAAACATAAAAGAAAACATGATATATGATTTTTTAGTCAATTTTATTGTTAGTTTTTGTTGATACGTTCAACTTAACACTCTAATTATTGAAGTCAAAAGATCACGTTTTTCAAAAAGATATATATTTTAATACTTAAAGATGTAAAATAATTACAAAATGATCTTTTTGATTGCAAAATTGACAGGTCTGCGTTCAGTGATATTTTCTTTTGCATTTCAGTTTGGTTCTAAACTAAAACTGAATTTCTGAAGAAAAAAAAATAGTTACTGATATAATGACTGCTGAACATTTTTTGGTATTACATGCTTTCAGGTCCCATTAAATGTGTTTTTCTCGTTTTTTTTCAAGTAAGCTGGTAGTATTTTATGATTTGTTTTCTACATTTCAACCAAAAAAGTGAATGGTAGATTTTAATACTTCAGGGTATGATTAGACGAGAAGTCAAATTTTTGAAAGCCCACCTTATTTCGTTCCAAGTTATGTAATATTCTTTTTAATACCGCTGGAAAATTTTGTTGAGTTGTGCAAATGGATTACGACTAAAGCAATCTCTATTTAGTCGAGTTTCAACTGTTATCATTGTGAAGTTTTGATTCCGCAGGCCAATTTTCTCAAAATACTTTTAACATCTCCTTGAATGTAAAAAGCAGAATGAAAAAAAACATAAAAGAAAACATGATATATGATTTTTTAGTCAATTTTATTGTTAGTTTTTGTTGATACGTTCAACTTAACACTCTAATTATTGAAGTCAAAAGATCACGTTTTTCAAAAAGATATATATTTTAATACTTAAAGATGTAAAATAATTACAAAATGATCTTTTTGATTGCAAAACTGACAGGTCTGCATTCAGTGATATTTTCTTTTGCATTTCAGTTTGGTTCTAAACTAAAACTGATTTTCTGAAGAAAAAAAAACAGTTACTGATATAATGACTGCTGAACATTTTTTGGTATTACATGCTTTCAGGTCCCATTAAATGTGTTGTTCTCGTTTGTTTTCAAGTAAGCTGGTAGTATTTTATGATTTGTTTTCTACATTTCAACCAAAAAAGTGAATGGTAGATTTTAATACTTCAGGGTATGATTAGACGAGAAGTCAAATTTTTGAAAGCCCACCTTATTTCGTTCCAAGTTATGTAATATTCATTTTAATACCGCTGGAAAATTTTGTTGAGTTGTGCAAATGGATTACGACGAAAGCAATCTCTATTTAGTCGAGTTTCAACTGTTATCATTGTGAAGTTTCGATTCCGCAGGCCAATTTTCTCCAAAAATTTTTAACATCTCCTTGAATGTAAAAAATTAATCTAGAGATGCTCTTGAAATTTATTTTATGTTTTATCTTTTATCTTGTTATCTTTAGTAAAATAATGATTTTTCTATCATTGTCTTTCGTTTGATATTTTTTACTGAATACGGACGGCCACTTCAGTTTTTTTGTAGTTACCAAAATGACGTGCATGCTAATGAAACATTTTTTGGCAAAACTCCTATGATAGATAGCTCTAAGCATTTTTAA